ATCAACACCAGAAGATGACATGGCTCCCCAAATCAACAGAAATGGTGGAAACTTCACACTGGACTTCAAGCATCTTGCAGTGTGTGCCTCTCCATTCTTCCTCCAGACTCTGGTCCTTGGTCTCCAAATGAGATGCAAAAGTTGCTCTCATCAGAAAAGAGGACTTTGGACCACTGAGCAACAGACCAGTTCTGTTTTTCTTTAGCCCAGGTAAGACTTCTGATGTTGTTTGCTGTTCAGGAGAGGCTTGACAAGAGGAATATGACATTTGAAGCCCATGTCCAGGTGTGGCTCTTGATGCACTGACTCCAGCTTTAGTCTACTCCTTGTGAAAGTCCCCAACACTTTTGAATGGCCTTTTCCTGATAATCCTTTCCATGTTGCGGTCAGCCCTGCTGCTTGTGCACCTTTTTTTCCCCACACTTTTCCCTTCCACAAAACTTCCTATTAATGTGCTTTGATACAGCACTTTGGGAACACCCAACTTCTTTTGCAATTACCTTTTGAGGCTTTCCCTCCTTATGGAGGGTGTCAATGATGGTTTTCTGCACAACTGTCAGGTCAGCAGTCTTTCCCATGATTGTGATTCCTACTGAACCAGACTGAGAGACTATTTAAAGGCTCAGGAACCCTTTGCAGGTGTTATGGCTTAATTAGCTGATTAGAGTGGGACACTTTGAGCCTGGAATATTGAACCTTTTCACAATATTCTAATTTTCTGAGATTGTGGATTTGGGGTTTTCATGAGCTGTAAGCCATAATCATCTCAATTATGACAAATCACGGCTTGAACTATCGTGCTTTTCATGTAACGAGTCTATCTCATATATTAGGTTCACCTTTTAAGTTGCATTACTAAAATAAATGAACTTTTGCACGATACTCTAATTTTTCGAGTTTCACCTGTATGAATGAACGAATGAATGAATGAACAAATGGACAAAAAGTCTCAGAAACCAGTAAGATTTCTCATCAAAAGAATGTAAACCTTTTAGAAAAATGCCAGAAAATAGAATTTTAAAAAGGCTGCAGCATGATTCTTACAAGTTCTCTTACATAAAATATTAAAGAACTAAACAACTTATTAAATAGAAAAAGGCGTAAGGGCCCAATTCCATTTTTTAAAGGGATGTTGAAAGCAAGAAAAAAAAAAGAAAGAAAGCCCAAATTTAATTAATTAATTAATTAATAAAATGCACCATTTTGTTTTGGCACAGTAAGCAGTATGCTTCCAAGAAATCCACAAACTAGCCAGGAAGTGATCCCACATCAGAGGAGAAAGAAGTTCTGTTCCTGTGGAATTTATACAAATGAAAAGAAAAAGTGCTTTCTATTTTGTCAGGTTTCCCTGCATGGCAAAAGTGAAGATTCTGTTTCACAGCAGAAGGTTAATGCCATCCTTAAAACGTCCAGCTGTATGAGTCTTATAACATTGAGATTTATAGAAAGGCAAAAGGATTTTCCCACGCACCCCACTTTGACATTTGAGATTTATGTTTCTTTCAAGCACCGGGATGGGTCCATACCACTGCTTGCCTCGTTCCGTCCACTCCTTTTTTGGCATGCCTTCTACAGAAGAAGCCAGCACAACTTTTCATCTACAGGGGGCAACCTGCAACAAACTGTCTTCTTCTTTTTTTTTTTTTTTACTTTTAAAGTACACTTAAAAAAAGGACACACAAAAGAACCAGAATTGAAAGGAGGGACCTTCTGCTAGGGTGAAACACACCTTTAGGATTGCTGATATGTCGTATACACCCATAGTAAAACACACCCACAGTCACTTTCCGGCACACAGCAGCTAAAATCTACTTGACAGTATCAAGGGTTGGGTTTTAAAAAATATCATCATCATCATCATCATCATCATCACAGTTTAATAATAGCAACCACCTCCTTCAGTACAAGCAGTTCTGTTGCTATTAAACAAACGTATAAAAATAGCCATCTCTTGTTTTGCAGTTACAAAAGCTCCACCATGGAAAGTACTTGCTTTGAAAAAGTGTAAGATATGGAGGCTGCACACTGGTGTTGGGAGAGGAATCTCCACCCTACTTTAAGTTCATAATTGCCATTGAGTTGACAGAAGGTAAGACAAGAGCCAGATTGCTCAACATTCCATTTACGGTCTTGAAGCAGCTGCTCCTTCTTTCTCAAGTCTATGATGGGCATTAAAACCTTCCTGAGAGAAGCTCTATTATCTTCTGGAACTCCCTAACAACCCCTTCTTTGGGGAAAAGGATCCTTTTGTCCTGTCCAGGATGAAGACCAAAGAAGCAGCCATCCATCCACCTCCATCAACCAATCTATCTCATCTTCTCCACATCACCGTATGGCACACAAAGGCACTGGCAATCAGGTGACCAGTCTGGGAAGTTTTGAGAGTTGGGCCATCACATTTGGATGTCAGAGAAGGCCAATTTGTGCCCAGGAAAAGGAAGGGGTTTGTGGAGGCTTCAGCCAAACAACATCTAACCCAGGGTTTCTCAACCATGAAGCCTTAAGATGTGAAGATGTCAACTCTCAAAACTTGGCTGGGGAATTCTGGAAGTTGAAGTCCACACATCCCCAAAATTGCATGGTTGGGAAGCCTGGTCTTCTGAGGAGATGCACAATGCAATACATATGCAACATGGCCACAGTGGTACACTCAATATGTCCTTTGGGAGATAGCCTTGAAGTGACTAATCTGGGGATATCAATTCTACTCAAGACAGGTGTAAATATGAACGAAGCAGCAATTCCAGACCAAGAGGGTGACAGCTGGACCACAATCTCTTTTAGTCCACAACTTGTAAGGGCAGCCTCCTTTTGCAACACAGTGGGTCTTTCCCATCCTGTTCTGCAACATTGAAGACTACAGGTAATCTTTGACTTACAACTATTTGTTTGGCAACAGTCCACAGTTTCAATGACACTGAAAAACAGTGACTTACTTTCACACTTACAGTATGTAAATGAGGGGTAAATGAGAAAAGGATTGCATCATAATCCCATAGTACTTGCAAGAACTAGTTTCAGAATGTGAGAGATTTTCTTAAACAATTATATGTTCAGATTCCACTTAAATTACTCCTTGGATGGGCTGACTATCTGATTTGGTAGGAGAAACACCAGAGAACAACCTAAGATTAGAGTGCTGAAGATAACTTGCTTCTCATGTTAGAGTTATAAATGCAGAGAGCCAGATTTTCAGGTCCTGGTGTGTACTGGCATTGCCAGAGCACCCTGAAAACTGGTCCTACAACCTACTCATTAAGTAAATGATCAGGTGTGTGTTTGTATAGGTATGTGTATGTATATATGTTCAAGCACAAGGCTGAATGCTGGAAAAGTGCATTTTTAGCATATTTCAAGTGATATCAAAATAATTTTACAAGGAAGGTTCTTCTTTCCAGAGAAGAAAGTTTCAATGAGCACTTTCCCATTCCCTGGGATTTTTTTTTTCTTTTTGAAAAATACCCAAAATAGACTGCATTTTGTTAAGTTTAATTTTGGAGGGAAATAGTGTGCAATATGGAGGTAGAGAACCTATTTAGTCCAAAGGACTTTAGGCAAATCTACGGCAATGTGCCAATAGTGGGTGTGGCTTCTATAGAGGGCAAGGCCAGCCCACTGGGCTAGACAGCTGAGATGCCTTTATACTAACTAGCACACGTTCTCCTTCATTCATGGTCATACACCATTTTCTCTCTCTCTCTCTCTCTCTCTCTCTCTCACACTCACTCACTCACTCACTCACACACACACACACACACAGAAATTAAGGAGTCCAATATCCAGGATTTGCTATGTTACATGCCAGTACTTGTTTATTTAATAAAGGTATATGGCCACCATCTTAGAGACATGTAGGTGCGTAAAGTAAAAGTAAAATAAAGCCTAATTTCAAATAACATACTATATTAGCACAAAATAACCTAGCATCTTCCTGTTTACAACACCACCTGTCATTATTTGATTAGTAAACATCGGCTCCTGAGAACGTGCAGAGCGCATTTTCTTCACCACCGGCAGTTCAAGCAGATGTCCTTTTAGAAACTAAACTCCAAATACCGCTTCCTTAAATACTATTTAAACTATTCAAAGTATTTAAAGTATTCCTTAAATACTTTTCAAACGTAGAAATCGCCCGTGAGAAATCGCCGCCGCAAAACCAGTAGTCACGAAACCAGTAGCCAGCTGTACCTTCAAGCCCCAGCCGGCCAGCATAATCACGCGGAGGTTGTAGGCGAAACTCAGAAAGTTCCCAAATTCTTTCGCGGGTCATGAAGTAGCTGTAGCAGACTCTTTGATCTCTCTCTCCCTCCCCCCCCGCCCCCCCCCCCCCGCTCGCTCGCTCCCTCCCTCCTCATTTCTCTCTTTCTCTGTCTCACTCACTCTCACACACACACTCGGCTGGGACGCGCGGTTTGCAAGTCTCGCCCGCTTCCTGGTGACCCGGCTGGCGGCCCCCTCAGGTTCATCTCTCAGGTGTTCTGGGTGGATCACCGCGAAGAGCACCCTCGCAGCCGCCTCTCTGCCTTCCTTTCAAGGTTTATCGTTTCAAGCCCTTGGGTGCTTCTTAGCCTGCGACCACCACCACCCTTAAAAACGTCCCGTTATGAACTCCTCCCCTCTCCCCGGCTTCCCAGGCGTCTAAACTACAGATTCCTCCCTTCCTCGGACCAGTTCTTGGAAGCGAGACCGCGCATAATCATCTCGTTTTGCCAGCCGGTCGTCCACACCACCGCGACGCTCAGAGCACGGATTAATTCTTTCGCCCCAATCCACGCACGAATCCACCCACGTCGCCACTTGTCCAGATTGCAGCTTCCAAGAAACCTTCGCTTGCCCCTTGCTAATAGCAGGGAGGACCAGAATAGCAGGGAGGCCAGAAAACATTTCAACGAAGACAGAACACCCACGGTGGGAAAACAAGCAGCCTCCCTGGGAAGCGCCAAGCCTCCAAGCCCTTTCCCACGCTCGGGAGAAAAGCAAAAGAGGCGCCCTTCCCTTACCTTTATATTTATCCATCCTGGGTCCCTCGACTTTTAATTGGCGCTAGGCGGGATAGAGAGGTCTTTCCTAGAGTTGGAGGGTCCGGGTTTCTCCCACGTTCTCCAAAACTCCGGACGGACTTCTCCCAGCGGGATGCGCCTCTTTCGCCCTGCTTGCGGATTCTTTGCCTTAACTCTCGGGTAAAACCTTCTCGGACCGCCTTGCCGCTTCCTAGCTCCGCCCTTCCTATGAGGTCAGAATCGTCGGACCTTACAGGGACCTACGAGCGGTTGGGTGGCTGGAGAACGGCGTGGGAAGGGAGCGGTTAGGGAAGGGTGAATTTGGGTCCCCCCAAACCAGCTTCGACGTCTCGTGCAAACCCTGCAAACCAATTCAATGTGAGCCAACGGCCAAAGAAGCCAATTTAACAGAGGGATACAATCGAGATCAAGTGAGGTACTAATACCACTCGGTAAAGCCATAGTTTTAGACCACACCTAAAATACTGCATCCAATTTTGGTCACCATGCTACACAAAAGATATTGGCAGAGAAGAGCAACCAAGATGATGAGAGGACTAGAAGCTAAAACGTCAGATGAACTGGGCATGGCTAGTCTAGTAAAGAGAAGGACCAGGGGAGACATGATAGCAGTCTTCCAATATTTGAGGGGCTGCCCCAGAGAGGAAGGGATCAAGCTATTATCCAAAGCACCCAAAGGCCAGACAAGGAATAATGGATGGAAACTGATCAAGGAGAGATTCAACCTGGAATAAGAAGAATTTTTTTGACAGTGAGAGCAATCAACTAATGGAAAAGCTTGCCTTCAGAAGTTGTGGAAGCTTCATTACTGGAATCTTTCGAGAAGAGACTAGAGTTCGATCTCTCAGAAATGGTGTAGGGTCTCTTGCTTGGGTGGGGGGTTGGACTAGATGACCTACAAAGTCCCTTCCAACTCTGCTAATCTGCTAATGCAAGCATGTCAGTTGGTCATACATATTCAAATAAGTACTTGGAAGACAAGGCAACTGATTTTCCTTTCTCGCAATACCTATGAGAACTTCTAAGAAACCTCAGCTCAACCCTCTGGGCATCTCAGGTGTTTCCCAAACACATTTTTTTTTTGGGGGGGGGAGTGACCTTGGCTTTCAAGATGCAGGGCATATGAGCAAGGAGAACTAACTGTTGTCTTTCGCTTGTTCTTTCAACCCCCCCCCCCCCCCCCACACTCCAGTAAAACATTGTTGGAATAACTGGAGCCACCAAATTTGATTCCTAACGTTCAGAAGATAACTAGATGGCAATAGAAATTTAAGGGTTTCTGTTAATATCTGCTGCCTTTTTGTGCTCCACTGGATTTTTGTAGTCTGCTATATAGTAATACAACTTTTCTGATCAGTGATGAAATCCTTGGATTGATAGTAGTGTGCTTAACAGAAAGAAAGCGACATAGCGGTCCATTTTAAATGATGGGAAAGTGGAAGCAACTTCCAGTCTTGTTGAAAACAATAGCTCTGGGAAAATGGAAAGTGAACATGGAGATCTACAAGGTTGGAGAGGTGGCAGGTTGTTGCACTTTTTCATTTCCACAGTGAGAAGGGGTTGATCAGCTCCTTCAGCATGAAGACAACTGAATATCCATTTCTCAAAGAGGAAAACACAAACTTTCCCTGAACCTCACCTGTCTTACTCCAGTGAAAAGAAGTGTCTTGTTATTTCGGCCAGCTTCTTGAGAACTTTTAAGGACACCTTCAGTCAGAGCATCTTATCGTAGTTCAAACGTAGTTCAAACACGAGGCCTCCCACTCCGGAAAAGGATGCAATAGAATCTGAGCCTTGAATCTTGGCTACAACCCTGCCAGTTGTTCCAGTTACAGCCATTAACACCAGGGGAATCCCAGTTTCTATGCAAGCTTCTTAGGATGAGTGCAAGGCTGGACAGAACTAGCCCTGGAGCAAGAGGGCTTCTGAACAAACAAGAGGACTAAAATTTGGCCCTTTGTCATAATCAGCCCCTCCAGGCACCAAGCCCTATCTCCTGCTTGGCCTGGGGTGGAGATATAGAACTGGGTATCATTAGCACACTGATGCTAATGATACTTCTGAAACTGATAGATTATCTCCTAGCAGTGTAACTATTGTAGGTATTTAAAAAGAATGAGGGAGGGTACCAAGCCTGGAGTCATCCCAGGTTCTCCTGCTACTACTCCTCCTCCCACTGAGCAAACCTGCAAGAAGTATGGGAAAAATCTGCAAAACAGAGCCTCTGGCCTCTAACTGCCATAAACCCTCCAGAAGGATTGGTGGCATTCAGTGCCATTAAGAGATTAGGCAAAAGGAGAGTAGGCCAGCACAGAATACCAGTCCAAATTTTATCAGATATGTATTATGTGAGGTTTCAAACAATGTTCAAACACATTGCATTAAAGGAAGCTGACTCATTCATCAGATAGAAAGTCACTGTTAATTGGCTATCCTTCTTCAGCCATTCCTTGCTCCAACCGCTTTGGAATTTGAACCTTTTATCTATTTTCACTCGCTAGACCCGTGATGGTGAACCTATGGCACACGTGCCAGAGGTGGCATGCAGTACCTTCTCTGTGGGCACACAAGCCATCATCCCACCTCAGCTCCTCCACCATGTGTGCACACCTCTCACCAGCCAGCTGGTCTTTGGGTCTTTGCTGTGCATGCGCAGGGAACATGTGGGGGAGCAGGGTGCACACGTGAAGGACACGCATACATGCGTGGGGGATGCGGTGCACGCACAGGGAACATGCACACATGAATGGGGGTGGGGCACGTGTGTGGGAGGTGGGCCACATGTGCAGGGGATGCACACATGCATGGGGAATGTGCACATGCATGGGGGGACACGCATTGCATTTGGGGAGTGCTCCAGAGGTATTCAGCAGGTTCTGACCAGTTCCAGAGAACCGGTAGCGGAAATTTTGAGTAGTTCAGAGAACTACTCAAATATCACCTCTGACTGGCCCTGCCCCCATCTATTCTCTGCCTCCCAAGTCCCAGCTGATCGGCTGGGTCTTCTTTTGTTGCCCTGCACAGGAGAACATAACTGGAAAGCAGGTTAGTGAGATGGGAGGGAATGGGATTTCGCAGTAACCTTTCCCCAGGAGTGGGAGGAAATTGGGATTTTACAGTATTCTTTCCCTGGTACGCCCACCAAGCCATGTCCATCAAGCCACACCATGCCCACCAAACCATGCCCACAGAACCTGTAGTAAAAAAATTTGAATCCCACCACTGGGGTGCACACACGTGCTTTGGGTACTCAGTGCCGAAAAGGTGAGCTCTAGGCTGTGAACCCACGCTCTTCAGTCTCACTTAGAGTCTAAGAGCCAGAATGCATCTATCTTCATTCATTAGTTCTCCATCAGAACATTATTTCCTAGTCTAGAAGACAATTCCAGTGCCTGTTTGGCCTCACCATTATTACCTAATGCAGAGAAATTGACTGGATATCATCAATATATTTCAGATCTTCAGCTGCTGTCACCAAACAGATATCAAGGAACATGGGGAATTAGTGTTTTAAAGAAGGAAAATCAAATTTCGTACACATTTATTGACTTGATGCCTGCTTCTTTTTATTGGACCATTTAGCATTGCTCTCTTCTACCAACGCCATCTGAGCATGTACAGAGTACACTATTCACCCAGTGGTGGGATTCAAATTTTTTTTCTACTGGTTCTGTGGGCATGGCGTGGCTTGGTGGGTGTGGCATGGCTTGGTGGGCATGGCAGGGGAAGGTTACTGCAAACTCTCCTCCCCTCCCCCCCCACTAACCTGCTTTCCAGCTCCGTTCTCCTGTGCAGGGCAACCAAAGAAGACCCAGCCGATCATCTGGAGCTCAATGGGGAGGCAGAGAATGGATGGGGGCGGGGCCAGTCAGAGGTGGTATTCCAAACTACTCAAAATTTCCACTACCGGTTCTCCGAATTATTCAAAATTTCTGCTACCGGTTCTCCAGAACTGGTCAGGACCTGCTGAATACCAACTCTGTATTCAGCCTATAGATCTGAAAAAGGAAATCTGAAAAAAGTAAAATATTGTGAAGTAGGTCTAGCTAGTTACTCATCCCATGGGGCAGCTCAAAGAAAAAGCAGAAAACAAATGTAACCATCGTAATAGGAATCACCACACAAAAGTGAGCAATGACAATCAAATTAGTTTTGTTCCTTCCATGTGATATTTAGAGTCTAGATGATCAAGTTATTCAATCATGTGAGAACCCTTCAAGAATATTGCCAGCTAGGTTCCCCCCTATTTTGACTTCTTTGTAAAGGAACTTGGTATTTTAAAAATAATAAGCAAATATTTTTCAGACCAACTGGAGTATATTGAAAATGTACTATATTAGTCTTTATTAACATTTTGCCTTTGCACTTTCTGTGAAACTTTCAGTTATGATGAAAATAATTGACAGACAGTTATCTAGTGGGATGATATACAGGTTAAACCTAAAAAAGAGATGTATTCCCTCTGGTTGAATTTTTAACTAAAATATAAATTACAAGAAATTAAAAGCACATATTATGACTTCTGTCTAAGGAGAAAAAAATTCAGCTTTTTGGAAGCTGCAGGGCAATGGTTTCTTTACATGTAATACTAAAACATTATTAATAAGAAAAATAAATGACAGTGTTTCTGTTTTGAGTGATATGCGAATATAAGATCATTAAAAAAATTAAAATAAAAAAAATATTGTATTCTGATCTTAGATAGTAAATTTATACTGATTTCAGCAATGAGCTGAAGTATTTAGCTGATAGTGGCTCTCACTATCAGAGAAACTGTTTCTATTCTTGACATAAAGATTCAATTTAGAGTAAATCAAATTGAGAGTCAGTATACTAAGTGATTTAGAACACTTTCTCCAAACTTAATGACTTCCAAATGTATTAGTCTTTGACTTACCATATACTGAACATATCTTGTCCCCATTTTATATGGAAATATAATAATAATAATAATAATAATAATAATAATAATAATAATAATAATAACAACAACAACAACAACAACAACAACAATAAAAACATTTAAGAAAAATGTGGTCTTATTGTTTGGAAATCTTATTACTTGAACCTCTGTTGAAACAGAGATGAAGAGCACATATTAAAAATACAAGATAAAGAGCCACATATTAGAATGCCATGTTACAAATCA